CCAAACTCAGTCACATTCAATGGAGTGGCGGTGTCATCTTTTACCTTCTCTCCAAACCAAAAAGTCCTTATAGTGATTGACGACTCAATAATAGTCACTTCGTTTTTACCATCCGTTAATCACGTCAATCCAATTGTAAATTTATTTCAACCACCAATGTAAATATTATAGTAGAAATAGAAAAAACTATGATATGTAAATAGGCACGTATTGTAAATATTTTTAGAATAATATGTAATGTAAATATTAAAATCATATGTAAGATATAAGAAGTTATAATTACGTACGTTATTGTAAATATTTTAATAGTATGTAATGTAATTTATAAGCTAATTATATGTATATGAGTTCCAAAAATCTTTCTTTGTTATCACATATAATATTAATAATAATATACTTGTGTTTTCAATCTATAAATATATATATATATATATATATACGTATAATATTGGGATTAATATTTCTACTATCAAATGTTACATTTTAATGGTATTAGAGCATCGTTCCATGTGTAATTTGGGGAAATGTGCTAACCATGTTTATAGTATTATAAACTAACCTATAAAAATTTCAGATGGCAGAAAGAAGAAATACAGAACTGACTGAGGTTGTACAAGCTATTAGGGAAATAAACCTTCCCATTTTGATGGAGGATATAACCCTGAAAAACTTGAATTATGGATTAAACAAATAGAAAAGATATTTCGAGCTATAAACTGTCCTGATAACCAGAAAGTGAACTATGCAGAGTTTATGTTAGTAGGAGAAGCAAAATGTTGGTGGGATAGTACTAGAAGGTTATTAGAAGGAGGAGGAATAATTATTACATGGGAAGTGTTTAGAGCTAAATTTTTTGAAAAATATTTTCCTAATGATGTTAGGAGGGCTAAAGAAATAGAATTTATGCAATTAAAATAAGGGAACATGATAGTAGGAGAGTATGTTTCTAAGTTTGAGGAATTGGAAAAATATTATGCTTTCTTTTATCACCCTGATGAGAGGATGAAGTGTATTAAGTTTGAGGATGGACTTAGCCTAGAATTAAGAAAGGTAATAGGGATATTAGAAATTTCTGATTTTCCTACATTAATACACAAGTGTCATTTTCTAGAAGGCTTTGATCACAATAAGGATAACAAACCAAAACCTTTTGGTCCTCAGTTTAACAAGAAAAGGAATAATGAAGGAAAACCTTATGATCGACCTCAATGAAAACCTCAATCTTCTCAATTTACAGGAAATTCCAGTAGACCTATGAATAATCAAGTTAAGTGTCTTAACTGTGGATATATATATTCACAAGTTAAAGTTATTATGATAATATCATTCAATTGAAATAAAGTTTGAGAACAGAAGTACTATTGAAATTGAAAGATTAAGCAATGCCAATGACAACAAGAAGGCACAATGGCTCAAGGAAAGTATAAAACACAAAAAATGACACTATCACAAATTTCAATTAATTATCCTCACATAAGATAGTGAAATGGCAAAAGATTAAAAAGACTATACAAATCATCACACAACACTAATTTTAAGATTTTAATCACTAGAGTGAAAGAAATTTATTTATATCTTGAGTAAAATAGGTTCATATACAAATCACTTCTGAACATTCACTCATATTAAAATAATTATTGAAGACAAGGCTATAAACAATATTTAATTAAGAAAGCATTTCTAAAATAATTTGAAATGTAAATTTCTATTCTAGTCCCGATATCACATTGTTAGAGAAAATTTGTAAATTTAACTCTCAACAGTGTGACACCCTCTACCCCACACATAAATATACAATAGTATCTCAAATAATAAGAGTAAATAGAAACCTTTGTAATTAGAACAACATCTCATTTAGCATAAGTGTAACACCCCAATTTCCTTAAAAGGATATTTTTTATTAATAATAGCATTTTCGTAATTATTGATGGGAATAAAATTGAAATATTATTATTTTGACCTTTATAATATTTGCCTTGATTTTGCTAGTTGATATACTAGTGTTTTATAAGTTTATTTACATAACTCAACAAAACTAGCTAAAATATACCCCTTCATGCATCATAGTTACTTTTTCTTCAAAACTTTTCCTTTTATGTTGGGAATGGGGGAGTATGTTTTAAATTTGTAGTCATTTTATTACCTGTTTACTGCAAATTAATTAGTTAACCATCATATACAAGAAATGTTATATATAAGAATAAAAAAATATTACTATAGATACAATATATATAAATATAAATTTATTTGACATATAATTATACATAATTTAAATGTTAATCTTGAATGAAATTCAACAACATAAATTATATGTCATTATAGTCTATATTTATACTTTTTAATAATATATCAACATATATTATATTTATAATGTAGATAAAAATAATTTTTAATGACAAATATTATATTATTATAACATGTGTTATTATATATGACAATTTTTTAATTTGTACTGAACTGAACATGTGAAGTCCTTTGGTTGTCTCCCTATATTATATACATATGTAGAGTGTATATATACATGTTTCTCATTGGTTTGCAGATGCATATGTGGGGACATGGATCTCAATATAGGAAGGGGCCTGATTCTCTAAAAGGAACACAACCATCAGCTATGCTAAGGCTTCCATGCTTTTGTTGTGCACCAGGTTGCAAGCACAACATTGACCACCCAAGAGCGAGGCCTCTCAAGGACTTCAGAACTCTTCAAACACATTACAAGAGAAAACATGGTGTGAAACCCTACAGGTGCAGAAAGTGTGACAAAGCGTTTGCAGTGAAAGGTGATTGGCGGACACATGAGAAAAACTGTGGCAAAATATGGTACTGTTTATGTGGATCTGATTTTAAACACAAAAGATCTCTAAAAGATCACATAAAGGCCTTTGGCCATGGCCACGGAGCTATTGACATTGATTGCATGCAAGAAGATGAAGCGGCCTCCGAAATTGATGAACATGATAGGGATAGCTCAATGTGAAATTAATAAGATGGAAAACAAAAAGTTGAAGTTTTCATCATGTAGTTAATTACACAAACATATATATGCTTAATTATAATAGATTTATAATGTGTATTATATATACATTCTTTAATGTCGTTTTGTTTTTTTGACGGGTGAAATATTTTAAGAAATGAGATTTAAAATGTAAAAAAGTAAAAGTATTCACTATCTAGAAAACTTAAAATATATTTAATATTTTCTAAAGTAAAAGTTATTTATTTTATATTACTATTGGCAGTATTAAACGCTTCGTAAAAATAACCAAGAATACCTAGAAGGGCCATATGGTTTGATTGTTATATATCATCACTTCTTATTCAAAAATGGAGGCCTTTCTTCCAGCAGACACGAGCAGCTTAGAATGTGAAAAAGACAGCTATTTTATACATGTATCCTCAACAATCGATTAGAATCCATTGTGCAGCAAATGAAGTTGTACGTCCCTCCCAATATTTAAGGCAATAAAATACCTAAGAATCAAAGATATTTAGTAGTATGCGTTATAGTTTTATTTCACATGTATGAAAAACTATATCGTAAGCCAGAAGTTGACATTTTTTTAGAGGTACAATATTAACAAGAATACTATATGTACAAGTTGTAACACTAGGTTTTTTTAAATACATACATATATATATATATAGTATTTAATTAATATCTTATTTCAATAAAACAGTAGTAATTACATAAATAGTTTAGGACAACAAAAAATAGTTTAGGAGTTGTTTGGTTTTTAAAATAAATAGGTTTTGTAATTAAATATCTTTTAAAATAAGGAAGGTTTTGATGACTCAATTAGTTTTTGGAAGTTTTACGCGATTTTGTTCCCATGAACCCAAGAAGCACTTTTAAGAAGCCTCCTAGGTGTAATTCCATTCTTTCATATATGTCTCTTTCGAAACCTTACCCAAAAAATTGTGACCGAAAGAGTAGAGAACATAGAAGGAGAATGTTGTTCCTGTAGAAAAATATTATGTAACTCAAGAATTTATGGTTAGATTAATTCACTACAAAAAAAATTTCATATACTTTACAGTGACACAATATACGTGTCACTAAAAATTACTATTACACATACAATAAATATAATATATGTTGATATATTATTAAAAAATGTGGGTATAGGCTATAGGGACACACAAAATATGTTATTAAATCTCATTCAAAATCAATACTAAAATTGTATGTAACTATTTGTCAAATAAATATATACTTATATATATTGTACCTATAGTGACACTTTTTGTATGTCACTATATGTAACATTTTTTGTAGTGATTATTGTATTAATCTAATTAATTGCTTGATAATAAGGAATTCTTATAGGATAATAATCATCTATTAAAAGTCATAATAAATATAAAGTTGTTATATAAAATAATAAATAGCTACTAAGAATTAAGAGTCATAATAAATATATTTTACTCGTTCTTGATGGAAAAATGAAAGGTTATTATAATAACTAGTAGAAAAAAGGAACTTCGTACCTGCATTGTATTAAAAAAAAAGAATGAGAAGTTACTCATAAAAAAATAATTATTGAAAAATAAATAAAAGATAAAATGGTGCATATAAAATAAAATTAAAATTAAAATTAAATAATAAAAGTATATTAATCTAATTGGTATTATGATTAATCTATTAGTTTTAAGTTCTTAAATTTGATAAAAACAAATGTTTTTTCTAACTATTTTAAAATAGAAGGTATAATGGTCCAAAAATTGTAGAGACCAAGGTAGTTACTAAAAAAGGTATCTCCTTTATATATTAGTATAGATAAAGCAAAAGGTCCTTAGTCTAAAAGGTTTGTGTTGTTCCATTGTCTAATAGGCTTAAGAAAATTAAGATAAATTTTTTTTCTCTATTTCTCTAAATATTTAAATAATTATTTTATATTTAGTAGTTTGATAACAATAACTACTAAAAATATGTTTCTACTATTATAAGTTATAGATTAAAATTTTTTTTTTTTTTTACATATAAGAGCTTAGGCTATGAAATTTTATAATTCTCTTTATGTTTTTTCTCCCAATTTTATAGAACCTAAATATAGAGCTGTCAAAGTGGGCTGGGGCCCGTGGGCCAACCCGGCCCACCTTGAAAACAGGTCGGGCCGGGCCAAAAAAGATTGAAGTTTTATAGTAGGTGGGTATATCTCAACCCGGCTCACCCGGGCTGAGCTCGTGGTGGGCTGGGTAGCCCACCAACCCACCATTTTTTTTTGCAATAAAAATTTAAGTATGATTTGTAGTCAATTTTTATGATGGGATATTAAAAACTTTTATTTTTGACTTCTATCATGATTTGTATTTAATTTTGTATAATGAGTTATGACTTATGACTATTAATGATGTTAATTTTATGACTATTATGTTAATTTATAATTAATTTAAAATTTTGAATTTTGTTGATAATTTTTTTTTAATTTTTGGTAGGCTAGAGGGCTGGCCCGTATAACTCACCAACCCGTGGTGTGCCGGGCCGGGCCAAATTTTTTTTGAGAAAATCAAAAGTGGGTCGGGTTGAGTTGACTCATTTTAAAGTGGGTCAAGATGGGCTGGCTCACATGGGCCGGGCCGGCCCGTTTTGACAGCTCTACCTAAATATATACTCTTGAGAGTTTCAATTTTTTCGCTTTTCAATGCACTGATTTAGTATTAACAAATTCGATTTCAATTATTGGATAGTATATAATGACATCGTGATATTTTTCTTATCATCATATAAATAAAAAATAAATAAATAAATTAGTTTTCACATATGCAAGAAAGTATTCTCGCATACTTGTTGGTTTAATTGCTAGTCATATCCTAAGAAAATTGTCATATAGTGACATATATTCTGTAGTGGCACAATATATGTTATTAAAAACTGTTTTTATCTGCACAATAAATATAATATATGTTGGTATATTGTTAAAAAGTGTGGGTATAGCACTACTAGAAAAGTGTCATTTTCTTACGAATTTTCCTACAAAAACATATTCGCAGAAATTTTATGTGAATTTTCCTGCAAAAAAATATTCGCAGAATTTTTTTGCGAATTTATTTGCAAAAAATAATTTACAAATATTTTTTACAAATTTTGCTACAATTTTAATGATTATAGAAATTTTTTTCCATGGTAAAAATTTGCAGAAAATATTGTAAGAATTTTATTTTATTTCTTGCAGATTTTCTTGCAAAAATAAATTCACAAATAATGTTTACTAAATGGTAGAAAAATTTTGCAGGTAACTTTTCCTGCGGATTTTCCTGCAAATTTTAATCCGTAGGAAAAAAAATATTTAAATTTATAAGTTTAATATTTAAAAAAACTTCAAGTCCCACATCGATTGAAAATAAAACAATTAAAGAATATATAAGCTGGGACCAGTGTTTTAAAACTCGGTTCGAACCGGCCGGTCGAACCGGTCAAACCGGAAACCGGTGGTTGGACCGAGCCGAACTAGTGATCAGACCGGATGTGCAGCTGACTCGATATGACTCGGTATGACCCGGCTAAAAACCCGGTTGAACCAGCGACTCGCGGGTCTCATGACCCAAACCGGGTCATCACTTTTTTTGGAAAAAAAAAATTTAAATGGCGTCGTTTTTTTAATTTAAAAAATAAAATCTTCAATTTTTAATGTCTCTGCCCCCATTTGCTGCACGCTTAAGCTTTGAAACCCTAAGTCTTTTTTTTTAGTTTGATTTTAAGACACAAACCCAACCCTCATGCACCATCGCGCGTCGCTGGTCGCTCCGTCGGATCGCTGCACAGTTGCACCGCCGCACTCTGCATAGCCGCACAGTTGCACAGTCGCACCACTGCACCACCGCATAGTCGCTGGTTTCTTCAGACAGCTGGGAAAAAAGACAGATCTGTTGGCTGTAGTTTTAGCTTGTATATGTGCATCTTTCACCGGAGCAGGTAGGGGTGGAGATGCATCTGATCTTTCAGCGGTCCCCGGTCGTCAGTATCATGTCCCCGCGTCTCAGCATCTAGAAGAATAGCTAGGCTTTTATGAACCCGGTTCACAAGGTAAATGTTTTCATTTCCGAAGAAGGAGAATCCAGAAGATTGTTATTACAAAATTCGAATAGATTTATTACTTGATAAGTTATATAGCTAGTAGCACATTTTGGTCTGTGACATACGTAATTGTTTGACTAATTAAATAATAAAGATAGTGTATTGCTCATTTGATATTTATTATTAAATAAATTTTATTACTGGCAATAAGGAGGATTGGCTACTCATATTTAAAACTTGTTTTATTTGCTTAAAACTCATGAATGACATTATAAAATTATGTTAAAATGTGTTTGTAATTTTTTTGGAGTTTCTTTTAAGGTATGATGTGATTTTTTTTAAAAATTTATAGGTATGAAATATGTATAACAAATATTTTTTTAATTTTTTTTAATAGAAACTGGGTCATGCGGTTTAATAAGTGACCCACCGGTCTAACCATTGACCCATTGACCCAGTACTCTCACCGGTTCAATGACCGGTTCGGTTTTTAAAACACTGGCTGGGACAACATTTACCTTACAAGTTGATTTGTATGGTTGAGTGTTAGGCTTATAATCTACAATCTTAGAATTTAAAAGATTATGTATCACGTGTTGGAGGCATGAAAACAAATGTTTCGGATGAATTCATTGTGAGCATTTGAAAGTTGAAGAATTATTGATAGAATTTATAGTAATTTCTTTAATTTTTTTCGTAAAAAATATTCTTGCGAAATTTCTTGCGAAAAAATTCGCAGGAAACTTTCCTGCGAATTTTTTTCGTAAGAAATTTCGCAGGAAAATTTCTATATTAACCACAAAGGTATTACCTGCAGATAAAATTTTGCAGAAAAATTTGTAGGAACAACGTTTCCTGCAAATTTTTCATAAAAATTCGCAGGAAAAGTTGCATATAATAAGAGAAATTATAGTAGTGTAGGTTATAGTGACACACAAAATATATTGTTAAATCTCATTAAAAATCAACACTAAAATTATATGTAACTATATATCAAAGATGTATATGTACCTATAATGACATTTTTTATATGTCGTTATACT